TGTTACTTTAACATATGTTCATCTTTATCCAATATGAAACTTCTCATTCATATTTGTACATAAAGATGAAAATAGGTCAAACAACTTGACAATGACCTATGATTCAACCTACATTAAACCTAGGGTAGGCTAGACTTTTTTAAAACATAAGTCAACTCAAAACTTTTATTAAAGTTTATTTACTTAAAAAAAGGGCAGATTTTGGCATTTAAAAAGCCTATTAGACTTAATAGGACGACTCATTTAAATACAAATATGTTTATTATTATATCAAATTATTCATAATGTATTAAGATCATACATTTATTTATCTGTTAAATATTTAACTTGTTGACTTATAGAAAAGTGACGTTCATAAATTTATTGAAAGACAAATTTATATGTCCTATTAAAAGATCTTATTTACAAAATATGTTTTAGATAAATTATTATTATAATATTATTATATAAATAAGTTAGATTTAATTTTATATATATATAAAACTTAGCTAACGTGTTATTTTCACTTCTATTTAGTTTTTTTGTTAATTATAAAATAATCTCCTTAAATAGATTTGGATGTAGACTACACTTTTATACAATTAAGTTAGATAAAATGATGGAAAACTCTTTAGAGAGACTAAATTGATGTAGTTCTCCTCTAAGTCTTCTTGAAAGGATTTTTCCTCCTTGATCTCCTCCTAGCTTTTTTAATGGTCTCCAATAGTGATAAAAGCCATCATTCAACACATATGAAGAGGTAGAATCCCCCTTAGTTGATGCCACACTCTAGGAATGATAAGTCACTCCAAATCTCACCACATTCAAGAAAGGATAAGAGAAATTGAACAAGTTTCAAGGGAGAAACAAGCTTTGAGAAAGAGAATTAGAGAAAACTCAATCTAATTCACATAAACTCCAAAGTGATTTTCGGCCATTAAATGTATTCCTTCATATAGAAGTTTGGTTGGCTTATGGTGAAAGTTAGACTAATCATGGTCAAGTGGAACCAACTCTAGTTACCTTCCTAGAAGCTTACGGAGTAAGTAAAGCTAATCCTGGTTTAGAAATAATCTAGGATAGCTTAAGTTAACTCTATCTACTTAACCTAATGATCACTTTTAACTAGTTTGTTGAGATATTACTTTCAAGGCCATGTGACTTATTTTAACAAACTTGGATGACTTCCTCACCAAGCTTGGACGTCTAAACCACTTGCTTAGGCAAGTGGATGTCCAAGCTTGGTGGATTTAAAATTAGTTTGGGTCATCCAATCCCAAATAAGTCCATGGTCTAGTCTAGTTACACCTCCACTAACTACTAATTACACCTCCACTATCTACTAATTACACCTTTCAAAGAAAAAAATACAAGAAAAAAAATTATACACTACTTGACCCAAAATACATGGTAAAAAAAAATCCTATACAACATGTACAAGGAGACTAAGCAACTAAAAGAATGCATACTCTAGGCTCATTGTCTTCTTAAGTAGTTTCCTCTAGTCTCCTTACCATAGACCTTGTCAAAAGTCCTATGATCTTCATGGATGGTCCTCCATCATAAAATCTTGGAAATAAGCTATATTAGATTAAACAAGTTAGAATCAAATTATGTATTTTCAACCTCATCAAGTTCAATAATAACTTTTTAAGTGAAAAACTTAAGGTCCTTTGGTTCAAAAGAGGAGTGGATGAGAAGAAAGAAATTAGAAATTTTATTAGTTAGAAAGGAGATGATATAGCTTTCTTTTTTTTTTGTTTGATTCATAAGAAGAGAATTTAAAAAATAATTTACTTTTATATTCTTATAATTTTAAATTTAATAACATAAATAAAAATATTTTAAATATTGTATTAATAATATTTTAAAATTTTGCTTCTCCAAATTTCTCAATATTGGAAAGACGCTTAAATTGATGAAAAGGAGAGATTTTATTCTTTTCCTTTTCCCTTCTCTCCTCTCAAAAAAAAAAAAAAAAGTTTTTAAGAATTCCTTCCTTTCTCGTTCCTCCGTTCCATTCCCTCCGACCAAATGCCATGTAAGTAGAAAACTCTATCGTCATTACAACTCACAATGTACATTTGAACTACATCGTTTTTTGAGGACAATTTTATTTACTTGGGAAGCAGGTAATTGTATCGAAAAGACATGATGCATCAACTAATCAATTTTTTATTTTTTGGTAAAGACTAATCAATTTCCATGATTATACATGGAAATGAAGGAATAATATTATATTAATTTGGTAAGAAGGGCTGAAGTTGTGCATTTGTAAAAGGTGCCAAAATAGGAAGAAGACTATTGTTGGCAACCTACTAGGGTCTATAGGAACAAAAAATAGTAAATTAAAAACTGGTTTGAAAGTGATCGGTAATTAAAACAATATTTACAAGAAAGTAAATTAAACGCAGGTTGAAAGTGACTACCAACGAGTCATTATGAAAGAAACATGATCGGATCCTTTTAAATAAAGTTTTGTGTTTAAATCTTATAAATAAAACTATAATCGAAAGAACAGATTTTACAAAAGGTAACAATTCAGATTTTTCAATAGAAATAAGTTATTACTAAAGTTTGTAAATATTTTACATTAATAATATGATTACTTAAAATAAAAAGGATAGGTGATTTTTCTCTTAAAAATATGTAATTATTTTAATTTTTAAAATTATACATTACTATCATATTTGTATTAATTTCTAAAATTAAAAAATATTATTTTTTTAAATTATAACTTGTGGATCACATTAATTTAAAATTCTAAAAATTCAATTGAAAGAATCATATATATATATATATATATAAACTTTTAAAGACTTCTTTAAAATTTTCAATTTAGAAAATTAATATAACACATTATACTTTCATGAATGTGAGTTCAATTCCCTTTGATGAAAGAACTGTTTTGATAGATAATCTATAAATATATCCTTAAAACTCAATTCATAAAAACGTTTCTATACAAAAAAAAAAATTAAAAAATTACACTTTCAAGTTTTTAGAACAAATGGATGATTTAGAGTTTGTTTAAATAAATTTATCCATAAACACTTTTAAGAATAAAAAAATAGAAAATTAAATTAAATTATTTTATTTTATAAATTAAAATTAGTTTATATATAAACTATTTTGTAGAAGCTTCTCATCATAATTCCTTCAAAATTTTATTTTTAACTTATATATATATATAATAATTTTAGTTTATGAAAAAAATAATTTTTTCTTTCTATTTTATTTTTTTTAAGAAGTTTTCTTGAAAAGTTAATTTATTTTCAAATAAATGTTTTTACTTTTTTTTTTTTTTCATGAGAAGATAACGATGGCCGATATTTCTTTTTCTTTGTCCTACTATAGAGGCCATCGATCGTTGGCATACTATAGTATATTTAGGTAAAATTTCTCACATCTCCTTCATAAAATATACTAAACTTCGAATCCAGTCTTGTGTATGCAGCCGCGTTAAATCTTGGGGCTAGCTATCCCACCCTTTGAGGTGCCTCCAACGTAGCGAGGAGATTAGTCATTGCTGTCGGCGGTGGATACTCTAGGAACGAACCTAAAAAAAAAAAAACCAAACCAAATTAATTAATTTGACCAAAAAAATTGATAAACCGGTCAATTGTTCAAGACGTTTAATTTAGAAAACTAAATTTGTAAAAAAATAATGATAAGTAATTAAGTCCTATACGTTTAGAATTATTTTTTAAAAAAATAACGAATAATTAAGATGTTGTTTCGAGATTATTTGAAATACATACATTATGAACTTAGTTTTAATTGATGTAAAAAAAACTTAATTTTAATAAAATTAATTTATACAAATATAAAATTAAAAATATTATGTACATTATTAAACTCAAATATATTATCATGTTACTTAATTATAAATACATATTATTTTATTATCAATATATAAATTTAAAGATTATATTAATTATTAATTATAAAAGCACATTATAGCACAATTGAATCAACATCAATTTTCAATCCAGATTTTAAAACGTCGTCCTTCGTAGTATTAAAGTAAACAAAATAAATTATGAACATATCATATTATATTTCCATTATTTTTTTTAAAACACTTGCTCAAATACTTATGTCATAATTAGATATTTTCGAATTACCATACACTGCATGCAATATACATATACATTCCAGTACTGCATATAATATCTTATGAAGCAAAACGTAACTGTATTCAATACGTTAAAGATTAACTAATCAATTTCTTGATTATAATATGCATGGAATACTATTATATTTGGTATAAGAAGGGGAACATTCCATAAAAGCTGCCAAAAGAAGAAGAATACTATTGCAGGCAACATAATACGAATTAAAAAAAAAAACTTGGTTGAAAGAGATCGGTGATTTTCTTTCATGACAAGATAACGATGAGTTTGATCTATATGTTTAAAATACTTAATTATTAATTAATTATATTGAATTTTGTTGGTGCTAAAACATAGTTTAAAATGTTGTTTAACTGTTTTTCTTTTTGGTTATAAAATTTTTTTTCTACAGTACATTAAATAATTTCATATTATTCAACAATTAATTTCTCATGCAAATCTACTAAAATTTTGCAAATTGTTTCCAAAAACAAGTATTTAAAAAAAAAAAAACTGGGAGATATATATTTTTTTCTATACTCTATTTTTACACTATCTTCTACCAGTTTTATAGACAACAACCTTTGTTTGATTATATTTTGAAAATTTTTTTTTAATATAAATATAAATGAATCACTCCCTAACCATCCAAATTTTAAAAAGTCTTGCTAAATAGTATTATTATACTATATCCCTTCCGAAAATTGTTCCATGTGTCTAACTATTTAACCATGGTTAATTTCTTGTTTTATTCTTTTCTTCTTTCCTTACCTTGGTTTCTGACTTTTGTCGTCACATTGTTCTCATCGATTTTCCTCCTATAAATATTCAATCATGAACTCTCACCAAAACTCATCCAAATTCAGAAACAAGAGTCTTGTGTATAAGCCTTAGAAGAAAAAAAAAATGATGCACCCTGAGATTCTAGAATCCCCATCATGCTCATCATCATTCTACCAAGCCAATACCTCAACCATTGATCTTCAATTTGAGCACCATGGCTTCTTAGTGGATCCTTCTGAATTCAATTCCCTTTTCAACACTCTAGAGGACACTTCCTCTGAAGCTTCCTCACTTTCTTTACCTTCCATCATGTTCACCAATGACAATTTTGTCCATTACCCAATTGAGAAAGACATTTTTCAACTTCCAACATTGATGGATGAGTATGACTATGATTTGTCAATGGATTTTGATGAATTTGATCATATGCTAAGGGATGATCATCATAAAAGTGAGGTAGAAGATACTACTATTACTTGGAGTCCTACCTCATCTTTGAACTCAGATTTGTCATCAAACCAAAAACCACTTACCTTGCCTCATCAAGGCATGGAAATTGAAAACCAAGTGAGTCTTCCACACATGTTGGAGGCTCTCGGAGAAGCCATATTTCAAGGGGAGAAGCCACTAGCAAAAGTGATCATGAGATGCATCATGCAGAAAGTTAGTCCAATTTCTGAACCCCTTGAACGCCTTGCATTCTATTTGTGCCAAGACATGATGAAAACAAGCCAAGGGGATTGTTGTTACCTCACACAAGAGGCTTCCAAGAACTTTGAGGCAACTTTTAAGGCTTTCTACCAAGGCCTCCCACATGGGAAATTTGCTCACTTTGTGGCTAATTTGGCCATTATTGAAGCCTTGCCACATGATTGTGAAGTCATACACATAGTGGATTTTGACATGGGAGAAGGGTCTCAATGGCCTCCGTTGATTGAGGCCATTGCAACCCTTCACAAGACATTGAAGTTGACATCAATAAAATGGGGAGAGGAGAGTTCTGAGGGTGTTTGTGTTTCTTCTCCATGGAGGTTTGAGGGAATTAGAAGGGATCTCTATGAGCATGCTAGATCTTGTGGGGTGAAGTTGGTGGTGGAGGGGAAGGGAATAGAGGAAGTGGTTAGTGAGCTTAAGAAAATGAACAAAAGGGGTGGAAGGAGAGAATTTTTGGCCTTCAATTGCATGGTGGATCTTCCACACATGGGGAGAGGGAGGAGTAGAAAGCATGTCATGGAGTTTCTAGATTTGATCAAGAGTTGTGGTTGCAAGGGAGTTGTCACTTTTGGGGATGGGAGAGTTTGTGAGGAATTGGAAAATGATGACTTGGAATTCAGGTCATTCTTTGAGAGGCATTTGGTGCATTACAAGGCATTGTTAGAGTCAGTTGAATCACATTTCCCAAATCAATTCTTAGATGCAAGAACTGCCATGGAGTGCCTATTTGTGGCACCTTATGTCTCTTCTCTTGCTTGGTTGCAAAAGTGGGAGGAGATCATAGAGGATTCCTATTTTAAGACAGAGATTGGCTTAGAAGGTTGTGGATTGAGCAATGCAATTTTAATGGAAGTCAAAGAGATGTTAAATGGATGTGAAGAAGGGTTATTATATCAGGCTAGGATTGAAGGAAAGAATTGTGACAATCAATTGATTTTGGAATGGAAAGGAATCCAGCTAGTAAGAGTTTCAATTTGGAGAAATTAAAATCAATAAGGCCAAGGGTTTACCTACATTTGTATATTCCAATGTTGTGTAGTTTTGTACAGATTCTTTGTGCTCATAATGTATATATTCAGTATTTTGTTCATAATATAAAACTAATATGTTAAATTGACAATTTGATATAACACATGTTGTTGTCTTATTAGTTGTCTACATTACCTTAATTAATATTGGATTAAAATCTTTTTCATCTCTACAAATGTGTAAGGATGAATTTATTTTGGGTCATCATTCTCTATTCTTAGAAATGTATAAAATAAGAATATTTATTTTCACGTATGTAATAAGTTTACTAGTAACTATTTCGAGTATCTTTTATTGTCAAAAAAGTTATATTCCGATGAAGAAGGGAATTTTATACACATGGTGGTAGTGGTAGGATGAGTATATGATATTCTTATGAGAATATTAAAAATTATTTCTATGATTCTTATAACTTTCACTTTTTAAAATTTTTTATTTAAATTATTTTAAATTTTATAAAATATTCCTGGGAATTTTTAAATGAATTAAACTTCTATTTTTTTTATTATATATATTATCAAAAATAACATTTCGAGTTATATTATTTCTAGAAACATAATTTGCAAGAATACAAAATTTCATGAAACAAACTTTCCCAAATTATCCATTTTCAATCTTTTATTTTAAATTTCTTCTTTCTTTTTTAAAATTTGTCAAATTTTATCTCTATAACTAACTCTATTAATATAATTTGATAGTAATACTCAGTTAACGCTACTGTTTTTTTGGCTTATAAATTAACACATATGCCTGACGTTCAAAAAACAAATTGAGAAGAATACTTCACTTTGATGACCGAGCAAATTGGATTAACCGAGTCCGTAATAAATATAAAATTTGACAATTTTGAGAAAAGAGAGAACGATATTTTAAAAATAAGAGATTAAAAATAAACTTTTACATATTTATATAGAAAAAATATATGTTAACCCAAAATGATTTATGGATTTGGTTTTCTACTGCATCGATGCTAGATCTCTATTAAAATTACGATAAAATATATTTGGTACAAAACCAACACATAAAAAAGAATATGAATTGAGGACACATTATTCTAAATATATATATATATATACTTTAGAATAATATAAAAGAATTCCGCTATTAATATAATGTAAAAAAAATACAGTAAATATGACTTTTTAAGTGATTATTATAAAATACAATAAACTTATTATATATTAAAATATTTGTAATTAAATTATAATGTAGAATTATATCTTTAGTGTATATATATATATATATATATATATATATATATATAACTATTTGATATTCAGTTTTGTCTAATTCCATTATCATTTTCTTTATTCATCTGCTCTGTTACAGAGGATCCTTTCTATCTATAAGTTTGTGCAGCTTGAGCTCTGTAACTGGTTAGAGAATATTTCCATTATCATTATCATTATGCATATATTCTTTTATAAGTATACAATTTTTTTTCACAATCATTTATTATACAATTATTTACTTTCACGAGTTCAAAAACAGAGTGTAAAACTGTAAATGATTATTATTTTTTAACGGTGTAAGGAGGATAACGAACAACCCAACAAGACATAAAGTAATAACTCAACACTTTTTTACTTATTACAATAAATTAGTAGATATCTTAAACTACATTATTCATAATTAATATATGCATATCATACAACCAAGTGTTATTATTATTTTCATAATTGTGGATTAAAATTTTTAAATATATGATATAAAGAGATTGTTTGAGACTATACCTACTGAGAGATTGTTTGAGACTATACCTACTAAGTAGTTTGATTAGAAATATCAAATAAATTTGTATTTGTGCATAATTTTTTGAATCCGTTCTAATTTTAATAGAGGATATTTGGTTTTATCAAATATGAATATAAGTACAGATAATACTCAACTATATACATATTAATCTTATATACATACCCGTACTTATTTTAAATTTTTAAATACTTAATATATTCTTTTAGAATTATTTGATATTTATATAATTTTTATTTTATTTTTAATTTGTGTCAAATAAAATTTAATAAATATAATTTTATAATTACTATTTTATGTTGAAATTTTTATTTTATATATTTTTAAAAAATAATATTTAATTAATTTTTGAATGAATACAAAAATGAGTATAAATATATTCAATATTCTATAAATTTTCATATCCACTGAATATGAGAACCAGAATAAATATAAAACACAAAAAATGAAAATGAAAATAGAAAATAGAAAATTTAATATCTGGCTCGTTATCATCCCTAAGCCCGACCATTGTTTTGAAATAAAATTTTGTCTAATGATGAAAATTAAACGTTTACTTACCCCTGACAAAACGATGAAAATCAAATATTTCTTCAATATGAATATCAATTCTTTCAGAATTTGCAATTTTCATAATTAACTATTTTACACGTTATTTAAGGGTGTATAAAATCGAAACAACAACTGACCCAAAACCTTAAAAATAGATTAAAAAAAAAAAAAAAAACCAAATACTTTTAGTTTAGTTTAGTTGTTTGTTTTACCAATTCGCACGTTTCGATTCGGTTTGCGATTAGGAATAGCAAAACCAACTCATCACAAACCAAACTAAATTGCAACTTTTATATTAATATTTTTTTTCAAATACGTATATGTATATTGTATGTATAAGTATATATGATAATGAGAAGGAAGGATAAAAAGAGCTTATACATTCATTTTTTTTAGCTATCGTACGTTAATTTAAGTTTCGTGCTTTTATCAACCAATCAAAAATATTAGAAGTGTTACGCTTAACTTATATATCGAGAGGATTAATTAAATTGATCAGAAAAAATATCAATTGGTTGGTGCAGTGATAGCATGGAGTTGCACTTGGTAGGGAGGTCCGCGGATCGATCCCCACAACGGCGATTGGGAGGGACTTAAATACCGTAATCCTTGGACCCGTCCCGAATCCGGATTAGTCGGCCCATGATTCAGATACCGGGTGGTTATAAAAAAAATGATCAGAAAATCTTGTTTTAGAAATTGGCAGAACTTATTACATTGATTTTGTTTTATTAGGAGGAATGTGATAATATACAAAATTAAAGCTTTCTACTGTTTATTTTCTTCCATTACAAAACCTGATAATGTATCAAGATATATCACTGTCTAAACCGATAACGTGACAATATAAAAATTATAATTTATTTATCTCCTAACTCACCTGTTCATTTGGAGAGTGAGGGGACCCAAGCCAGAAGGAAATTAAAGAGGAAGAATGCATCTGAAATACACATGCATTTAGCAAGGAATTAATCATAGGTGATGTCTATGATAAAGAAGTTGTACAAGTGGTACATGGGTGGTGCATCTAAAATCACCATAGATATAATATTAAAAATAATGAATGGATGAGATTGTGATTTAGTGAGAAAATATATTGTACACCTTCACATACAGGATAAAATTTCTGAATTTTTTACTGAATTTTTTTTTAAATTACCTAAAAAAAACACGTATTACGATGACTGATGCAGCAGCTGTCACTTTCAGAACGGGCCGTTCTGAAACCAGAACGGCCCGTTCTAGATGAAAAAATAACACAGGAATAATACACCAGAACGGGCCGTTCTAGAAGAAAAAAAACACGTGATAACTACACCAGAACGGGCCGTTCCGAAACAGAACGGCCCGTTCCAGATTTAAAAATAACATATGATTACTTAAACCAGAACGGGCCATTCTGAATTCGGAACGGCCCGTTCTGGCTACAAATTTGTTTTTTTTTTTCATTCTACTAAATCACATTTAAAATTTAAGTATAGTTTTTCAATTGAGCGAGATATGAAGCCCCTTCCTCAATGACATCAAACATCTTATGAATAAAGGTCAAAACTAGGCCTAATAAACTTAAAACTCAAAAAGACTTATACTAAGGCCCATAATACAATATCAAACAATATAAACTCCTATACTACCAAATATATGAGAAAGGTGGTCATCTATGTAAAGTCCAAGTAAAGAGAACCTTATGCCCATCAAACCCATTAGGCTCACTAAGCTCAAAAGCAATCAAAAGTCTAAAGGCCCATGAAGCCCAAAGCTAGGCCCAACAAGCTTAAAACCCAAAAAGTCTTATACTTAGGTCCATAATACAAGACCAAACAATATAAACTCCTATACTA